TCATTTTAAAATTCTTAATTTCGAAGGTCGAATATATGCAAAAATCCCATTTTAAATAATAAAATTTATTCCTGTTCTTTAATTAAAATTTGGAATTTTTGTACAATAATTTCAACATTTCCCATAGGAATGTGTAGAGATTAGTGACCGTTAATCAACACGACACTCTCAACACGACACGCAAGGATGGCACAATTACACAGAAGACAAACACTTTGAGCCCTGAAGATGATCTCAATAAAAGATCGAAACGTTGGCACGATAAAGAAAATGTTTTTCTGAAACCTACATCATACCCGACCGCATCTCACGATATCTGAATAACTATTTTCCATAGGCTTATATAGTCAATAATAATACTAATAATTATTCAGAAATCGTGAGATGCGACCTGGTGTGATGTAGGTTTCGGAAAAACATTTTCTTTATCGTGCCAACGTTTCGATCTTTATTGAGATCATCTTCAGGGCCTGGGATTTACAAACATTGTTTACATTTAACGAACACATTTAGGATGTGGAAAAAGGAATTTATCCAATGCAAAATATTTTTTTTTATTCAATCAGTGTATTTCTACTCACTCAAAATGTTTGTCTTCTGCGTAATTGTGCCATTCTTGCGTGTCGTGTTCATGTCGTGTCGTGAAAATATTTTTCTGAAACCTACAACACACCAGCCCGTATCCACGATTTCTGAATAATTATCAATTAACCGTCACTAACCACCACACAATACTACCACTAATAATAATAATGGAGTCAGACTAGCAAACAGTATCAGCATGAGTACAGACTCATCATTATCTTTCCCTACTCTTTCATTCAAATATGATTTATAAACTAATTCTACTTAACAATAATATGAAACAATAACACTTCATTTTTTTTTATATATATATCTATTTTTTTTTTTTTTTTGAGAGAGAGAGAGAGAGAGAGAGAGAGAGAGAGAGAGAGAGAGCTTTCTTATTTAAATTGCGATTTTGGGCATTGTAGTTTAGTACCTCGCAATTTGTATTTTCTTCTATTACCGCTCCGGCAGCCTTAAAAATTCCTTAAGAAAGAAATCTTTCACCGACAACCCTTATTCAAACACTCGCAGACAAACATTCAATGGTACAACAATTTGGGAAAAGGCCTAAATCTCACAAATTCCAATAAATTTGAGAAAGCTGAAAATTGCTCTTCGAAAGAAACACTGTGGGCCCAGTAATTCCTTTAAATTACTCGAAAGATTGAACCATTGCATAAAAGGGTGGCAAAGTGCGACAGTCGACCAAAATATGTTTCACGGTCAGCATGATACGTTCTCCACTTCACATACATCGAGGACAAGTTGGAAGGTTGTTGCCTATTAAAAGCCTATTATGGATTAGCCTGATGTGACCTATTCGCAATCTAGAAAGAATCACAAGTTCTTTTCCCTCAAGTTCCACAGTTGGCCATTTCTTTCATACTATCTCTACAGACGTTCCAACTTGCCGCCCACATTCGTTTGATAATGTTTTTAACCTAAACTACTATATCATCTGGGCGGAGAGGTAACTGATCTGTTCTTTGTGGTTGGTTTGCAGCATTCCTTGCCTGTTGATCAGCTTTTTCATTTCCAGAAATGACTAGAAACCCAAACGAATACCACTTGTTTGTTAAGTTCTTTGATTTCATAGAAATATTTCTGAATTTCTAAGAAGTATGGGTCAACCGAGAAATTATTTTTGATGGCTTCGACACCACACTTCGAACAGAGCAAATAATGGCATGACAAATTCTTTGCAATTCTGAATTATTATTATTGCTATCATTTACATTAAACTTCAGAAAAATATGCCTTAGAAACTAACTAACGTCTTTGATATTTTTCTGTGACCTAAACACTTTTCAGTTGAACTTTGAATCGAAGGTACAATTAGGACTTTACAAGGATCGAGTGTTGCGACAAGTTTCAAGTAAAACGACAAAGAACAGGTACAGTCTTTAAGAACGTTGCATGAGGTTAAGCAACGGCACGATTCCAGATCTCACGAGCAGTCGATTCGCATGAATAGTTTTCAACAGGAAAACGCATTTAAATGCACTAAGCCCCGCCGAAGTACGATTTGATCAAGTCGTCGTGAGATTATTTTGTAAACGGTAACAATGTTTATTTATACAAACCTAATCTGTTAAATTTTTGATTTCCCTTGCCATTATTTTATTAAGTAATAATAACAAATTCAAATAAATCAAAGTAATTATGTGGAACGATAATTGTGATCTTTGGGTGCTAAAGTTTATTTGAAAACATTGACTACTTATTATTGATTTATAATCTATCATTAATAATTCATACACGATTTTCTCAACGACAGCTTCCTCAAATTGTCCATTATGTGATAGCAGGACAGCAGCAAGGGTAGTGGGTTTTGTAGATGATAAATTTTGACCGAACTGCATTCAAAAGGTTGGTTATTGTTTCTAGAAACCAAGCTCATGAATAAGTCGTCCTTAATTAATACTGACTTAACAAAAGAGTAGATTATTTCCAAGACAAAAGGGTCTGTGTTCAAAAGGAAAAAGTGTAAAACTTCTCCGTTTTTAAATATCTGATAAAGTGTATGGTGATTAGTGACCGTTAATCAACAATTATTATCAAATCGTGAGGTGCGGTCTGGTGTGATGTAGGTTTCAGAAAAACATTTTCTTTGTCGTTTCGATCTTTATTGAGATCATGTTCAGGGCTCAAAGTGTTTGTTTGTATTTGTTAAATTTAAACAATATTTGTAAATCGCAGGCCGTGAAGATGATCTCAATAAAGATCGAAACGTTGGCACGATAAAGAAAATGTTTTTCTGAAACCTATTGAGATCATCTTCAAGGCCTGCGATTTACAAACATTGTTTAAATTTAACAAATACAAACAAACACTTTGAGCCCTGAAGATGATCTCAATAAAGATCGAAACGTTGGCACGACAAAGAAAATGTTTTTCTGAAACCTACATCACACCAGACCGCATCTCACGATTTCTGAATAATTATCGACTAACAGTCCCTAATCACCACACACACACACACACACACATATATATATATAAATTATGTCAATTAATATAGTTTCATGTAATTCTTGTTAAAAGTCGTATATAAATGAGTAATATAATTTTAATTCGATAGTTACAATCTCCAGAATTGAAATGCAAATTAATAGTCAATTATATTTCCATACAATAAAATATAATTGTAATATTGTAAATTCACAATATAATATGATAAAGTAATGAAAAATATAAGTTGCCTTATTTACATGTTTATGTGATATAAAGTGTATATTTTTATATGACTCACTCAGCAAATTTTAATATACAAAGGAGTATGAAGTGCATAGTGTCACAAACTCAAGTATATCCTAACAAACAAAACATACTAACTACTTATCTATGTATTCTACATGATACAAAATTAAGGGGAATCATCTGATAAAGATTGATTAAAATTAAGCATTTTTAGTACTGAGTTAACAATACTCATTACATTTTTTCTTTAGATGTCTCTCTTTACCTATTGCTCGCTCTCTCTCTCTCTCTCTCTCACTCTCTCACTCACTCTATCTTTCTCCTTCTCTCTCTCTCTTTCTTTCTCTCTCACTCTTTCTTTCTCTCTCAGCCAGTCTTTCCCCTTCTCTTTATCACACACACCTATCTCTCTCTCTCTATTTCTATTTCTTTCTCTCTCTCTCTCTATTTCTCTCTCCTACTCTCTTTCTCACTCCCTCCCTCTTATCCAGTCTTTCCTCCTCTCTCTCACATGCACTCTCTCTCTCACACTCTCTCTTTCTTTCTTTCTTTCTTTCTTTCTTTCTTTCTCTTTATTTCTCTCTCCCTCCATCTCTCTTTCTCTCTCCTTCCCTCTCAGCCAGTCTTCCCCCTTCTCTCTCTCTCACACACAGCGCAGAGGCAATACAAGAACACCAATTCTGCCATTTTCTCTCTCTCTCTCTCTCTCCATTTTTTGAATATTGAATATTTCGCATTCCTTTAGGCAGGACTATCAGGTTGACATTTTGAATTTTCGATTTTTGCGTTTGTTTCGTTTATTTTCTGACTTTTTTCTACACTTTTACTAATGTTATTCATGTTTAATGTTCGTTTAGTTTTCAATTTAATATTACATCTTTAGATTTCTTTAGATTTTTCAATAGATTAACTTAAAAATTACAATTTACAACACTAGATTCTTCATAATCTATAAATTTCGAAAATCTCTACAATTTGTAGATTAGCGCATTTCCTTTGTCACTACGAACAGATGAGTTATCGAATCGAATTTTTCAATGAGCAATGAGTAGTCTGGAACTTTTTTCTTTTCTTAAGAGTTCTTAACTTCTCTAAACCCACCTCTCCTATGTGGGCAAACTTGGTCCTCATATTTTAATCTTCATTCAGAAACAGGCCAACTGTTAACCAATAAACGTAAAAGAACTTGGGTTGCTCATAAAAGTAGGAGTGAAGTGAGGTGGGCCACACTATTTTTTTAGACTTTTTTTCATATTTGGGCCATACCATGGAACTTTTATCTTTTCTTTTGCGTTCTCTCATCTTATAGAATAAAACAGATCGTACTTGGCCACAGTGCATATATTGATAGGCAAGTTTTTTGGAAGGAATGTAGAAATTGACCATTTTTCACGGTTACGTTTTTATTGGGGCAGAGTATCTTTAAAGTAATTACACAGCAAATCATTATCAACACTTATGGAATCAATCAAATACTTGGAGCTAAAAAGTTACTTTAAATGACGGTTTAATGTTCTTTTATGACGTTGGACGCTTAATCCGACTGCATGGATCATTTCACGCATGGCCTTTCAGAGAATAGTTTAAAAATGGAAAAACGTCAATGACAACGGGTGCTATAAAGATGTTTATGGCGATAATGATGACTGTTAATAAAAATACGGAAGGGAAAGAATATTAACACGTATACATTTTAATATTACTTTATTTCATGATTTAAATCCTTATTTTTAAAAGGCTTTATTATAAGTGAACCTGGAAATCAAATCAAGGGCCCACAAAGGCTGGTCCATGGGGACCATATGGCCGGTGTCGCGCACGAGGACTTGTGTGAGTCCTTTGGCAGTTTTGCTGTAGCCTGCCAATTCTCCGTTGACCTTCCACAGTTTCCTTTCCGCCTGCTTAAATTCATCCGCTCCCGACCATTTCATGTTGTTAAGAAAATTGGTGGTCATTGGATAAGGGATGATGATGTCCAGTTGGCCGCTGTACAAGAGAATCTTGTATTTCTCGACGAGAACTTCAAACCACGGTTTGATCGATTTCACGACGTCGGATTTTAAGAACTTTCGCACCACCTTATTTCCATCTTGGAATCGGAGGCCGCCGACGTGAATTGTTCTCCTCACGAAGTCTTTTTGGACGTATTTTCTGAAATCGCCGTTTGGATTGTAGTCTTTGGTGTGTAAGAAGTTAAAATAGAATTCGTAACCGGTCAAGTTATTAAACAAAGTGTTTTCTCCGCCTACTAACTTCTCATTGGCTTCAGAAGCCGCGTCGTAATTTTGTTCCTTGATCAAGCTGACGACGTTGTTTTGCAAACTGATAAATTGGTCCCGGCCATTTAAGTCGAGTAAACCCAGTTGGAACAGATAATCCCCGTAATCTAACATATTTTCAGGATCGCAAAGTCCGTTTCCGATGGCAATGCCTTTCAAGTTGATTTTTTCCTTTGCCGTTGGATTGCTGGTATGAATGGTATAAGCGAGTGCAGGAACGTATTTGCCCGCGTACGACTCCCCGGTGACGAAAAAGTCGTTGTTTTTGTAATCTGGAAACAATTGAAAGAATTGTCTTACAGCCTCGTAAAGATTCTTTCCCACGTCGACTTCGTTCTTTGCGTACCCGGCATCGTCGTCTGTAAAGCTGAAACCCGTTCCGACAGGATTGTCGATGTAAATCACGTTCAAGACCTGAGACCAGTAGTATTTTCTTGACCCGAGGCCTCCCTTGGGTTTAACGTAGAACGGGCCGTTTTCTTCGAACAGGCCTCCAAGAGAAGAAGATCCAGGGCCTCCCTGCAGCCAGACGATGAAGGGAGCGTTTTTCGGGTTATTTTCCGCAGGAAAAAACCAGAAAAACATACTCGAATTGTACTTAGGATCGACTGTAAAAAAGCCCGCGTAGCTTTCGACTTTAGCAATCGGTGCTACTTTTGCCGCCAACTGTCCTCCTTGAATATCCCCTTTGTTGATGTAATTTGTCACAAATACCGGTTCGCCGTGATTAGCCGACCCTTTGTTCTTAAAAGATTCAACAGCATTGCAACAAATCGCTAGGGCAGGTAAAAGCAACTTCATGGTGACCGACATTACGCGGCGAAACTAGTCGAACTGAATTCTCTCCGAGACAATCGGACATTTCATACAAGTGGGTAGTCATATCAAACAAAACGTTTAAAAAAGAACTTATCGCAATTTAACGAACTTTCAGCATTGTATGTATATGAACATAAATATTCAACTAATTCAATTCTCTAACAAAAAATAAACAATTTTGTGGCATTGCCTTAACATCAAAATATATAAGACTAGTAAAAATTGTCCAATATAAGCCTATAATAGTATATTAATACACATTAAAATAATATAGATTATAATAGGGGCGTCGGTGGCCGCAACGGTTTAGGCGTTGTCAGGGCGCCCATCACTGTAAGGTAAAGGTCCCAGGTTTGAATTCAGCGGTCCTGCATTCGAACCCGATATACTTACAAATGGTTGTTTTTTGTTTTCAAAAACACCGGCACCCTGAGGGTTTATATGACCTGTGCTGTTGCGAACCCTCGTAAAACAATTTTGAAAAAAGATTACATTGTACATTATAAAATGCATGTATTTTATGCAAATTATTATGCATTTCACATTTTTCTGTTTATTTAATGCACTTGTAACAAACTATAAATGCCATTCACGTTTTCTCTCTCTCTCTGTCTCTCTCTCTCTCTCTCTCTTTCTTTCTTTCTCTCTATTTCTCTCTCTCCCTCTCTCTTTCTCACTCCCTCCCTCTTATCCAGTATTTCCCCTTCTCTCTCACACACACACACCCTCTCATTCTTTCACTTTCTTTCTCTCTCTCTATTTCTTTCTCCCTCCATCAATCTTTCTCTTTCCTTCCCTCTCATCCAGTCTTTCCCCTTCTCTCTCTCACACATACCCTCTCACTCTCTCTTTTTTTTCTCTCACTCTATTTCTCTCTCCCTCTCTCTCTCTCCCTCTCACTCTCTCTCTCTCTCTCTCTCTGTCTGTCTTTTTCTCTCTCTCTCTCTTTCTTTCTTTCTCTTTCTCTCTTTCTCACTCCCTCCCTCTTATCCAGTATTTCCCCTTCTCTCTCTGACACACACCCTCTCACTTTCTCACTTTTTTTCTCTCTCCTTCCATCTCTCTTTCTCTCTCCTTCCATCTCATCCAGTCTTTCCCCTTCTCTATCTCACCTCTCTCTGTCTCTCTCTCTCTCTCTCTCTCTGTCTGTCTGTCTGTCTGTCTGTCTCTCTCTCTCCCTCTCTCTCTCTTTCTCACTCCCTCCCTCTTATCCAGTATTTCCCCTTCTCTCTCTGACACTCACCCTCTAACTTTCTCACTTTGTTTCTCTCTCCCTATTTCTCTCTCCCTCCATCTCTCTTTCTCTCTTTCCGTCTCATCCAGTCTTTCCCCTTCTCTATCTCACCTCTCTCTCTCTCTGTCTCTCTCCCTCTCTCTCTCTCTCTCTCTTTCTTTCTTTCTCTTTCTCTCTTTCTCACTCCCTCCCTCTTATCCAGTATTTCCCCTTCTCTCTCTGACATTCACCCTCTAACTTTCTCACTTTGTTTCTCTCTCCCTCCATCTCTCTTTCTCTCTCCTTCCATCTCATCCAGTCTTTCCCCTTCCCTATCTCACCTCTCTCTCTCTCTCTCTCTCCCACTCTCTTTCTCTCTCCCTCCCTCCCATCCAGTCTTTCCCCTTCTCTCTCTCACACCCACACCCTCTCACTTTCTGTCTCATATATCTCCTATATGATATATATCTTTCAACTCTCTCTTTATTTCTGTCATTATTTATCGTTTGTATCATTCTCCAGTTGTGAATTTATAGCTGTACTCTTTTATCTATCTACTTGTTTACATAAACAAACATCCCACCAAACAAACGCACAAATTTGTCAGCTCGCTCCCAGTCATCTCTTACATGCTGCATTTATAACACGAAGTACCCATCCTAGATTTCCATAGAACTGTTCTCTTCCAATTTGGTTTCCGTCCTCGCCATCGTACGATTAGGAATACTTCTTATACTCTCACACCATTTCCTATGCTTTAGAGGACAAATAGAACCGCTTGGCTGCGTTCTTAGACATGATACAAGCTTTGTGAAGAGTCTAGCATCTTAAAACTATAGCAGGTCAGATCGTTATTCTACGAGAAAATAGATAATCAGTTATCCGTGCACAATCTTGAAATTGTGGAAGTTATAAGAGTCAGAAATATCCTGGATAATACATTTATGATATCTTAATTCTTCCGGGGTTTTTTTGCGGAAGTATTAGCCGTTGGACGTCGACTGTTTGTGGACGGATTACATCACATCAGTTAACCGTTTGGTAAAGGCGGAGATCATAACAATTCCATAGTTCACCGATGAATTTATCTCGGCATGAGTCGTAAGCTAGGTTATTAGAAATATCGCAACAATGGCTTTCAGCCCTCATCGTTGCGATGGGCCCGAGGTGATAACATTTAATTTACTGTGATCGTCAGCTGGCCTTAATTAATCAAGCGGTTAGTGGTTTTAATTGCCGTGGACCAATCTTTACGATAAGGAAAATTTTACTCTTTTTTTATTCATGTTATTTATTCAACTATGAAATACAGTTGAAAATAAATGATTTTTTTATTGGTGAATCCTGTAGTTTTATATATCAAACTTTAACTTCTTCCTAATGAAGTTGTGAGTGAAGAAAGCACCGTAAAGACGGTTTTAAAGACTTATTATGAGATCAGATAAAAATATAATATTATACTGTCCATGCAATACTGAAGAGAAGATCTACTAAACTGCCTGTAAAAGATAAAAACTAATATAAAAAATCTTTTAATTTTTCTTGTTACGGTCTATTACGAATCACATCGAAATATGATATGAAGTTATGGAAAGTGTAAATGCGATCATCAATCACAATAGCAGGTTAAGGTCGGAAGAGGCGAAACAAAAAAATTAGACCATAATTCATAGATTTATAAATGGTAATGTCTTCCAGTCTATGATGGCTTGCATAAGAAGACGAGTAGGTGACAGGAAGATTATTGATCTCGGGACTGGAGGCGCTAGGGATGAGTTGAAAGGTTGCATAAGCCGACCTTCACCCTGGCACAAGCGTTCCCAATCCGAGTCTACTGGACTTCCCTCCATTTTAGCATTTACAGGAGCGGGCTTTAAAGGATTTACAAATTCCTCTCTTATATGTACGGAGAGTGATACATAAACGATAACTTTCATCCGTTTTCATGCAATCTGTTAATATTGTAAGTTACCAATAAATTCTTCAAGACCTGTTTCTTAATTATACCAAGGTGAAATCGAGTGGGAATCTAATCCTTGAAGCGTAGAACTAATCCTTCCCAAGGATCGCTTCGGGGATTAAAATATTCATTATATCGATTTACGTCTTGTACATAACATTACATGCTATTTAAAACTGACCATCTGTAAAATTAATTTATATTCCTATTTTTATAAATGTAGGTTATAGTTTTATCAACGATAAAGACCATTCATTTACAAAGACCAGCAACAATTCTGATACAATAAAAATTAATTAACCAGAACATAAGTAAACATATTCAATTCAATTTCGCCCTGTCTTTTTTTGCCGTTCTCTCTTTCTTTCTCTCTTTCATTTTTTCCGTCTTCCCGTTTCTTTCTCATTCTCTCCATCTCCGTGTTGTCTTCGTTTTATCTCATTCTCCTTTCCTACTATCTATCTTACTATTTAACTATCTATCTATCTTTGTATCAACCTATTTATGTATGTATTGTAACTCTATCCAGTTCTTTCCCTCTTCCAATTTTCTTCTCTCTCTCTCTCTCCCTCTCTCAATCTCTCTCTCTCCCTCTCACTCTCTCAACATATTTTTTTCTTTTCCTCTTCCCGTTTTATTTTCTTTTTCTCATTCTATCACTTTTGTCTACCTCCTTATCTTCTTTCTCTCTCTTTTCTTTCTCTTTCTTGCTCTCTTTCTCTCTCTTTCTTCTCTTTCCGACATTCTTTCTCTTTCGCTCTCTCTCTGTCTCTGTCGCTCTCTCTCTCTCTCTTTCTCTCTCTCTCTCTCTCTCTCTCTCTCTCTCTCTCTCTCTCTCTCTCACACACACACACACACATACACACACACACACACACACACACACACACACAAAGTTTTTTCATTCTTTCTCACCCTGTAGCCGTTATCTTCTGTTTTCTTTTTCTCTCTCAATCTACCTCTATTTCTTCTCCCTCGCAATCCAAGTTGTGTTTATGTACGTGTGAGCGCTTACGTGCATAACAGCATAAATTGTATACTCCTACACTCTTACTCGTTTCTTTTTATTGGTTTACCCATCTACCTACTCACATTTTTATCCATCCACTTTTAAACATTCCATTTAACTTTCAGATTGTACCGAAGTGCTTAATATGTAAAATTGTTATTACCTATCCACCTGCCTAACCAACACACAAATTTTAGTCTCTTAAAAAATCATATTTATAAACATCTATAGCTCTAATTTCTGTTTAAATTCTCATTTCAATTTATTTATTTGTTTGTTCGGTTACGGTTAGTTAAATTTTAATCAAAATGATATTCCCATGTTTTGGAGAATATTCTTTCAAACCATCATAATTAAATCATTATTATTAAAACTCATACATTGCTGATTTCGTTTAATTTGGTTTACATTAAAATAAATATGTTGCAGCAATATATAACGTTAAAAATATAAATATATGGTTTGAAATAAATAACAACGTAAGAGTGTCCGGTTTTTTGTCTTTGAATATATATAAATTAAGTTTTTAATGCCTATAAAAACGGTGTAATTTTGAAATATAACAAAATTCTTATACTTTTTGCATTAGAGTAAGAATTAATTTTTATTTATTACGCAATTATCAATTTCTAAACTTATAGTTTTATAAACAATATACAAAAACATGTCGGGTCATAAAGCAAGGTTTCGATTAATAATTTTACGATTCGACATATTTACTCCGTTGAACTAGTTGTAAATTTTAAATATAACAAAAATTTTTATATTTTTGGCCTTAGAAGTAGAATTAATTTTTATTTATTATGCAATT